GGGGGGGGAGAGTGATAGATCCATTTCTCTTGTCTAAACTGTTTGTTAGCCGTGATTGATTAAGCTAATTTCTTTGCAGTTGGAAGTTGTATATCAAACATGTCAGCCGGCTCCACATTTGCACGCGCGCACACACACACACATATATGAAAATATTTCAGATTGTAATAGCATATAATACAGTCAACCCCTCATTGACCTCAACACCCCCCCCCCCCCCCCCCCCCCCCCCCCCCCCCCCCCCCCCCCCCCCCCCCCCCCCCCCCCCCCCCCCCCCCCCCCCCCCCCCCCCCCCCCCCNCCCCCCCCCCCCCCCCCACGGGAGTGTGTGTGTGTATGTGTTCCTGTCTATCTGCCTCTCCAACTATCATCATCATCATCAACATGTCCAGCCTAGTTTAAGACTATTATGTAGTACTAAACTTGGTGACGCTGTGAGTTCATTAAATCTTCACTAATTTGACTAGAAATATGAGAAGACAAAGTTTCTGAAATGGTAAAAGAAAGGGTGTTTTTTTTTTGGAGGATGGGGGTATGTTGTTTGATGTTTGTTTGGGCTGGGGGAAGGGGGGGGGGGGGGTTGAGAAGTTGCTGGTCCACTATAATGGGTAGTGATTATCTGTTTAGGCAAGCATGTGGTGTGATCAATCCTCCCTCGCCTCTTTATACAAGATGTTTACTTGTCTTTGTCTAAATTCAGTGTTCCCCCATGCTTTTTGTGAACATCTCCGTGTGAGGTTGGAAGCTGAGCACTTAAAAAGCTGTATGGGAGGCTCATATTATATATCCTACTTTGTCCCCTGTCACTTATTACCTACAATTTCTCATAGCCTCACTTAACATCTTAAAGAACACAAACTTCTTTCAATGCCAACTTTACAACTCTTAACATTGTACTATCAATTACTTGTATATCTACTCTCTCTCTCTCTCCAAAAAATAAAGTTTTATTTTGGAAAAAAGTTAGCTAGACAATGAAGATTCAAAACCAGCCTTAAGGCTAAACCGAGCATGTATATTAAGAGTTGCTCACGATGCACAACATTTCTAGTCTAAAAGTCTAATTTACTCTCACAACTCGAGAGACTATGTAGCATCTTTACACATCTGCTCTTTGCTCAAGCCTAAAAGGAAGAATTAGTATTCTTTCATTCAATATCTTAGTAAAAGCTAAAGCAAGGTTACATAGCTTGTATACCAATGCCGATAATTGAAGGAAAAATTGGTTTACTTAATTATATTGTAATTGGACCTAGGGCCAAAACATTGGATACATGTGTCGGATTCATTATAACATGAAGCAACTTATATTTCTTGAGCAAATTCTCAAGTAATTAATTTGAAACTAAGGGGACATGGTGATTTACTTTGGCAACACAGAATAATTAACCCTCTAATTACTAGCTAGCTAGGAGCTTTAGACATTTTACAAAGCACACAACTTTGTACCTATTGCTTTCTATCACTAATCTCATCTTTCACAGGTTTATAACCTCCAACCACTTTTGCAGAAAACCCTAACATAAGCATAACTTCAACAAATTCAGAGAAGCTTACAAGCATATTTGTGAAAGAACATGCTTGAAGGACTCTAAAGCGATTCTCTGGGAATCTGTTTCATCAAAGTGCAGTAAGCATCCGATTGGATGTATATGGCCATTTTCCATCAATCTTCTGTAGAGAATAAAGCGATTTAAAATTGCATATATTATTGCAATAAACAAGTCCATTGTGTATGAAAAACGATCAGGAAATGGTGACGATCATTCACTTTTATTTGTGGAGAAGGATATAAACCATACCATAATTTAGAATCATTCTAATGGAATATAGGATACTACAATTATCAAAAGATCAATGTGTTAGGTCACTCCTTCTTAAATCATAAATCTCTTAAACACAAAACATTTTCATTACAAGAGCATAGAGCTGGCCATTCCATTGTTTATATGAATCAAATTCCAGAAAAATATCATAATGAGGTCTTTGAATCATGAAAAAGGGTTGGGGATTTCGATAGCAATCGAAGAACCAATGGTAAAGATTGAATTTACTAATCATTGCAATTAATTAAATCATTGTGTTTTTCAACTAACCTTATTTAATTAGTTGGTTTTCATGTCCAAAGCCCATTTGGTTATCAGAAAATGTGTTTAACCGAAAGAATTGATAGTGCTAATATTGAACTAGCTACTTTAATATCGATGTAGAATTTGTAGACACATTGCATAAAAATAAACATGATTAAATAGATAGCTTATCCATATGCAGAAGAGTATTTTACAATGAAAAAAAAATGATATAGAGACTAGCTTTAGGGGTTGAAACTAAAATACAAGAAGGACAAAATACTTTTTTTATACTACGTGTGCGCAGTGATTTTTGTATAATAAATGAATAGACAGATTTCTTTCCTGATGAACTTGAGATTACCTGGAAAGTCAATGGTCCTGTAGCAAACGGATGTGAAAGATGGTATAACGAATAGTGATGAATTACTTCTCCAGCTGTCTAAACGAACCTAATTTATCGAGACAAACTCTACCATTCAAAAAGAAAGGTTAGAAGGGGGTTGGAGTGTTTTTCGGCATGACTCCTCCGACGATCAAGTCAGTATGTAAAAGAGGGGTGGTAATTCATTGTTCTATTGCTTGGGTGAGAATGTGCGTACCTTAGACTTGGGTTTGAGTGGGTTACTTATACCTCCATGGAGTCAATCATTGCGGATAGTTAAGTTCCTTGAAGGAAAGATTACTCATTGGCTCATTTGGAAGGCAACAGGTGATACTCGGTCCTCGAACAGGGAGCTTTCCTCTTTACGTGATGGAAATTCCTACATTCATTGCTCGAGCCTTCCTAAACTGGCCAAGCAATAAATGCTCTTTATTCTTCTAAGGAGAACATTTATGGTGACCTAATTATGGCCGCGCATACGCAAGGACTCTTTCGTCCATCATCCTTCCAAGAGGCCAACATTTCAAAATTTTATACTTCATACATTTTTACCATTGGTTATTGGATTATCTTTCTTGCCATTTTGACTGNACAAGGACACTTTCGTCCATCATCCTTCCAAGAGGCCAACATTTCAAAATTTAATACTTCATACATTTTTACCATTGGTTATTGGATTATCTTTCTTGCCATTTTGACTGTCTTGGAAAGGGAGAATCGATCATTGACAACCTACTCTGCTTCCAAGTCACAATAAATGTCAAAAACTCTAATCCATGTTTTGCCGGCATGGAAAATTTGACTCCGAAATGACGTGTTATATAGAGAGTGTTCCGCGAACAGGATGCTGAGGATGCGTGTTATCCAAAAAATACTCCATGGATAATATGCCGAGGACACGTGTCATTCAAAGAACACTTCGTGGACAAGATGTCCAGGATACATGTCATTCAAAAAATACTCCGCAAACAAGATTCTCGAAGATGTGTGTCATCCAAAGAACACTCGGACAAGATACCGAGAACTCTGCAGATAAGATATCGACTCTGTTGGCATTCAGACATGTGTCGAACACTTTGCAGCCAATATGTCTAGGGCACATGTCACATTTGATCACAGAAAACGTCCCATCACTAAGATCGCAGCATCCTTGACAACTAAAAAAAAAGGCTATCCAGGAAATTATTGAGTAAACAATATCATAATCTCTTGACTACAATCTGAAATATGGTATAAGAAACTCTCGATCGATTTGCTTCTCTCCAATTGTGCCAAAAGTCTCAAGAGAACCATTGAGGACGCTCCAAGAAGTTAGGGCAAGACTCGCAACCTTCTACTGCCCTAATTCCCCTCAATGAGCGTCTAGTGATACCCACAGAAAGGGCGAAAACTGTACAGACGACCATCAACTATTTTACAAGTTTAAACCCTTGGATCATATGGACACTGGTCAAGGATGCCAAAACTAGACCCCCTCACTCACACAGCCTTCCATGGTGCAAGCGATTTTGAAACAAATTGCTTGAGTTTCAAATAAATACAGGTTATGGTGTAAATTGAGGCATAAATATTGACAACTTGCCATGGATTTCAGCTCAACCTGTTCTTTTTCGACAGCTTTAGCTGAGGAAGAGAGAATAATTTTCAGAAGGAAACTAGATAAGAACATTCTTGCAAACAGTAAGATCAAGAATTCAACCTCAAAACAAGAACATTTACAATTTCCCGAAAACAATGCACCAAAACAAGAACATTTACAATTTCCCGAAAACAATGCACCAAAACAAGAACCAAACGATTTAGCAAGGAATACTTTTTGAAGTTCATCGACATAAAACACCAGTAGTAAAGAAAAAGAGATTATCACCATATCATTAGGTCTGAAAGTAAGAGCTAATTGATCAGTTTATGGTACCAAATTGACTGAAAGTTTGCCGCTTTCTGAACAAGGAGAATACAAAGCTCAATTCTCAAACCATTTCCTTACAAAGAAGAGAATTCCACGAAAAACATCAACAAGACTATTTCCAGAAACTAAAGTTACAAAAAACCCAAAAACAAAGAAGATCAAAACCCCCAAAAACAAGAGAAAGAAAGAAGAGAACCACGATCATGACNGATTCCACGAAAAACATCAACAAGACTATTTCCAGAAACTAAAGTTACAAAAAACCCAAAAACGAAGAAGATCAAAACCCCCAAAAACAAGAGAAAGAAAGAAGAGAACCACGATCATGACGATGAATATCGTGAACTGATTTGCTGACCTTAATGAATCTAGAAGCCGAGGTCACCCGATTCAATCGCCTTCAACGAAGCAAGAATTTTGGTCCCACCACCAGTTCAAAGATTGAAATATTTGGTCAGAATGGGCGACCAGCAGAGTTTGCCAACCAACCATCAACTGGTAACTGACAATTAGGCATATTGAGAGGCAAATTGAAGAATGGAAGTCCGGAAGATGGGTCTGGAAATGGGTTGTGGTTGACACCTCCGCCTCCGCCAGTGGCAACACCACCGGAAGCCTGAGATACTGGTGGCTGAATCTGAAGTGGCTCCTCCTCATCTAAGGGCAATCTCTCATAGGCAACATTCGTGAATGACGCCGCAATCACTATAACCGGCCCTGCCGCCGTCAACTCTCCCACCACACTACCTCCGACGACTTGGCCTTGTCCGCCAGCCAGGAATATTGTCAAACTCGTCGCACCAGGCGGCGCAGGTGGCGGCAGAAAAGATCCGGACAGTGATAGTATATCGAACCTCCCTTGTAGAGTGACTACGGAACCACCAGCTGGCTGCAAGAGAGTCACATTCGCCACGGTGCCGCTGCCGCTTAGTATGTAGATCCCGCGCTGTCGCCGCCGAGCATAGGTGGCTACACAGTCAAAAACATCACACCCATTGCCAACCTCCAAGATATGAGCTCTGAGTGTATTTGCGCTCTCTCTTGTGATAATTACAGGAGGTTTAGCCTTGTTCTTCGACCCGGGTGGTCTGCCTCTAGGTCTCCGAGCAACAATATCGCCGGGACCGGCGTTTCCAGTGATGAATTCAAGCCCCTGGTGGCCACCTTCATCGTGTTGGTCACCGGAAAAATGATTCTGATTGTTGTCATCTTCATTTTCTGGGTGTCTCTGGAGGTGCAAGTCCGGCCGGTGAAGCTGATGAACGAAACGAGAAGCAGTGCCTAAATCCAAACCAGCCATATCCACAACATCAAAAGAAGCACAACACACAAACAACAGAAAACAAGAAAATCATAAAAAAATGAAAGCAAATTAAAAACTGTTTTTGCTTTCCTTATTTTATGAAGTTGGGGAACGAAAAGATAAGGCAAAATATAGAAAAATACAACTCCGGAACACGAACCCTAGATTTGAATAGAGATTAGAAAACTACTGTGGATTTGAGTGCAGAGAAAGGGAAGGAGGGAAGACGGAGTGGAGAGGAGTGAGGTGAGGGGGACAGAGACTCAAACGCAGTCATTTTTTACAACCTAAAAGTTTAATATAGGTATAAAAATTTGGGGTTGAGAAATATTTATTTATTCCACATATTTTGTGTTGAGAAAATAAGGATTAAGGTGAAGTCCAAGGGAATTTTTCTAAAGCGCGTGAAAGAATATGGTTTTGGACTATGCAGTACCATAGAAGAAAACGAACAACTTGACTATGTTGTTTAAAATTATCTATATAATAAAATAGAAGAGTTGTTAAAGTTTGAACTCGTATAAATCTTAACAATTATTCTGATTAACCCCAAATCAATCAAACAATGAAAGATCACTCTTATAATTTAAAATTCTACATTTCTTGCATAGAGAAATATGGATTGAAGTGCAGTCTAACATGTTGTTTCTAGAGATCTACCGTGGAAGAATATGGTTTTTGGATGGTGGAGTACGTTTAAGGAGAACAACAGCTTGTAAAGTAGACCTCATTGTTAAAGCTATTATACAATACAACATATATATATATAGAATATAGTTGTTTAAGTGCAGGGATAAAGAGCCATTGTGAGAGATGATCTTGTAAGTGCAAGGAGTGACCTTTGAGTACTGGGAGGCAAGTAGTAGAAGTTTGATCACTCTATTACTTGCGGTTTGATAACAGTTTTTTTTTTTTTTCTCCCAAGTCCTTTCATAGTTTTAAGTGGTTTTTATTTTGCATTTTTGTCCGGATACTCTCTTTTTCTAGGACTTATCATATCTAATACTATATACACATGAACATATAAAAGTATTATGTTTTATATTTAAAAAAGACGTTATCAAATGGTAAATTAGGTTTTGATGTTGTTCATCTTACTTTGTTGGAACTTATGATATGCTATTAATAAGAAGCATTTTACTCAAATCATAATCCTACAAATGCGATGATTTTACAGCACATAATTGAAAATTACAATATAGATCATCAATACGGAGAACACTAAGATGCATTAGACACAACATTGCAGAGCAGATCGAGCCATACACCCATAATGAATGACAACAAAAATCACCATAAAAGGAATTTTCATTAATTTTGCAATTAGTAAAAGCCCTAAAAGAAAGGGACGAGTTCTAAATGATTATAAATTACGACGGTGTATAGAATCATATATTAAACGCCACTTTGGTGGAATTTAGGGTGTAGGTTTTGACTGGGGAAAACTAGAAGTGGAAAGTCAATTACAAATGGGTAATCACTGTTTTGATTTATTCTATGGACCAAAAAAATAAAATCTTTGAATTCAGTAAATGAAAACCCAGATGGGTATTTCGTGGTTGGGGTTTGATGATGGTTTTTGTCCTTGTGAAATGAAGCAAGGGTTTTTCAAAACTAATTTATTCAATTTCTTCGACAATATATCATTTATCATATATAAATAGAGATTTATAGTTATCAACTAAACTGTAAATTTGTAATGAATGATGTCACATGAAAATAATCGATAAAAGTCATAATGGAACTGATTTCAAAAGACTAACCATGGTTATGTGGTGGCTACTTTGACCAGATTGTTGAGTTGAAACGTGTGGAAGGAGCTGACTATTTTTTACATAACAAAAACATGGGGGAAGAAATGGGCAAGCAAGTGGACGATAATGAAGCGGCGGATGGGGCCGTCTCTGTCCCACCCTTCGGGGTCCACCTTAATTGATTGGATATGCTGATCAATGAGCACCCTCCACCTTCAATGACCTTTGGGGAAGTGATTGCTATTAGTGTTCGTTAATTCATAGTGGATCTTCTTATAATCGTATGTAAGTAATTTCGTACCATTTTATTTACTCAATGAATATAACAAGTTTATCAATTTCTTATTTGAACTTGTTAAGATTAAATTTAAATTCATTAGTTTGATGTCGAATTTGTAGATCATATCTAGAATAATCAAACTCATGATTGGAATACATTTTAGAAAACATACATCTCTTAGTCCTCCCCAGAAAAGATGGTAGGATTTTGGATCGGGATCCCCTCTGACATTAATTTCTTTAGACTCGCTTAACACATGAACATGACAACAATGTCTCATTTGTTGCAACTAGGAAATTGAATTCAGTGCAGATAAATAAATGGAATCACATACATGTTTATGTTTAAGTTCACCAAGTTTCTTAGCTAAAAGAGACCGAAGAAATGGAATCACATACTGACTAATACTATACTATAGTTTAGACTTAATTCAATGNCGTTTAAGTTCACCAAGTTTCTCAGCTAAAAGAGACCGAAGAAATGGAATCACATACCGACTAATACTATACTATAGTTTAGACTTAATTCAATGTAATTATTAGATTAATTATGAGGTCTAATATTAGATGAAACATACTCTTAATTCAACAGTTGTGTAATTCATTAACTCTTAAGATTAAGTTCTCAAATTAAATCTAAATAATATTTTCCAAAGAGAATATAGATATTAGGGAAAACTATGATATTGAGAGTTATCTTTTCATACTATATCATGAATTACGATTCAATTAGTTCAATTTATGACTCATGAGTAAGGTCGATTAGAATTAACCTCAAAAACTTAGAATAGGTGGCCATGTTAAGATCAAACTTAACTTTTTAAAACTATACTTATCTTTTTTTTTGGATAACTTAGGAATCCCCATCAATTCAGCCCATTTAGACTCATAGTCGGGAGTTAATTTGGACCCACACGTAAAATCTTCTCACCACACGCAAGGATTAATATATAGAGGAGATGGCCCCAAACATTTACACCCAGTGAAGTATTAAACTCTTTGATCAATTTCAACTCAAAACATGTATCAAGTGATCAATTATCGCTTGAGCTAACTCCTTGGGTAGACTACACTAATCTTTTAACTTAACACAACTAACCCAACAATTTCTCAGTTTTGTCCGATGTAATATTGAATTTGATATCATAGTATTCTCTGAGAGGCTAACACGTGAAATTACAAAAACAACAGCAAGAAATAATTTTTTTGTTTTTTTTGTTTTGGGGTGTTTGGGTGGGGGGTGGGGAGAGGAGGTTGGTGTTGTAGGGGGAAGTTTCTGGGGCTAGGGACCAAAGTGCAAAATAAAGATGAAGACAGTTTGGTGGATCTTTAGGGTTTTCGAAACTTGGAAAATCAAAAAAGATATTGGAACACGAATCATAAATGTCAAATCAAAAGCATAACCCACGTAACCCCAACGCAGTCTGACTTTGAATACCTTGTCGTCCTGTATATCCGATATTGCTGTGCTCCATCTAATCTAATCTGTATCTATCTGCTTCCACCATCTATTTTGATTTCATGAATGAAGGACAAATCCTCATTTCATCAGAGAGAGAGAGAGAGAGAGAGAGAGAGAGAGAGAGAGAGACAGATCGACAGAGAGTGATACGCCATGTCCACGTCCTCTTCCTGGCTTTATCACAGGTGGGGCTTTGGGTTCCTTTCATTATGACCCACCTTGCAGCATCTGAGAAAGGTTGCACCTAATCCCTCCATCATTGGTGCCTCCTCGATTGACCAATATTAAAATACAAACAAAATTAAGTTTTTTTTTTCCTCTGACAACAGTTCTCTTCAAGACAAAGCAAATATTGAATTCACTCCTGCATACCTTAAGGACAAGGGGGCCATGGCCCGTCTCATGCTTCACAACTCTTTTTTCTTGCTAATGGTTCTTTCTTTCTTTTTCTTTTTTTTTTGACATTTAGCAAAATTGTTAGGCTATTTAATGAAATTGACTACAAATTGATCACAAATTATTTGATATATCTCGAGTCAAATTATTAGTTACGTATTAAGCTTGAGTTAAAATATAGCTGTCCTAGATTGATTATATAATGAAATTAAGCTAAGATTGTAAAATAGTGAGCACAATTGTAAAACCATGACACTGGGGAAAGAGAATTGATATTGTTTTTTTTTTTAAAAAATTTATTTTACCGGTATATTACTATTTAAATCTTAATGTAATATGTGGATCATTCCTCATTAAAATGAATATCTAGAATGCGAAATAAGTCCTGGGAGAGGAAATGACAAATCCCATAAAAGTGGATGATATGTAGGGATGGCAATAAAATTGAAGTGGGGTGAGGGATATAATTTTCATCTCTATACCTGCTCAAAAAAAATTCTGTCAATTTCCAGTTCACTCTCGTTAATGGGTATAGTTTCATTTTCATCCCTGTTCACAGATAAATTTGTAATCTCTACCCCTGTCCTGTCCCTTGCCTCCGCCCCCCGTCTACCTTACCTGCCCCAGCCCAAGCCCAAGCCCAAGCCCAAGTCCAAGCCAACGTAATCCAAAATTCTAAATAAATCTAACATTCTAAATAATTCAACATAATTATAAAATATCATAACATAATTAAAAACTTGTCATCTATAACATAATCCAACATAATATAATTAAAAGTTTGTCTCCCATGTAAATTCAATACAACATCATGCAACATAATATAATATAACATAACATAATCCAACATAAAAAATATAAAAACACAAAGATCTACACTTTTATAAGTCAAAAGTATGAAAAAAAAATNGCAACATAATATAATATAACATAACATAATCCAACATAAAAAATATAAAAACACAAAGATCTACACTTTTATAAGTCAAAAGTATGAGAAAAAAAAATCAAAAAACAACAATTTTTAAATGAAAAAATTATTCAATAATATCTAGATTTGTATTCACAACAACATATATAATAATAATAACGGGTAAAGCGGGATA